CCACGGTTCAATCCCCCAGCACCACATGCCAGCCAGCCCCGCCCCCTGGTGGGCTGAGCTGGCCACACACAAATAAATAAATAAATAAAATTTAAAAAAAAAAGAAAGAAAAACATCAGGCAATTTAATTTAGTAGAGTTTATTTGAGCAAAAAACAATTATGTGTTGGACAGTGCTTACAGTACCAGAAAAACTATGATACTCCATAATCAGTATTCATAGCTAATGGAAGTAAAGTACTGCACAAAAATAATTTGATTAGTTCAGCTCCACATTTGCCTAATTTGGAACACAGTTTGATCAGTTGGCAGACTGTGATTGGCTGAAGCTTGGCTACTTGTGATTGGCTGAGATATGGCTATTATGTTTATAGGTTAGGTTTTCAGGTTGTTTTATGTGCTAGGTTAGGTTACTGTTCATTATAAGGGAGCTCAAAGTACAGACAGAGCCTCAGGCTGGTAGCCTCCTACCTATTTAATTTAACAAGACTTAATGTTCTTTCTCTTCTTTTCCCATTGTCACTTCTTGAGTTCATTTTTGGAGTATTTTTCCTCTCCTTTGGAATGACCCATTTCAAATACAGGCACTATAGATCTTCAGATCAACAATCTGGTTTTAAACAGTGACCTAGGAGGAATACCTCCTTTGTGATTAGACTTGTAACATTTACTTCTTCAAATATCTAATATTTGTCAAAACAATTGTGCTGGGCTGGGAGTGTAACTCAGTAGTTAAATGTTTGCTTAAGGTGCATGAGGCCCTGAATTCAGGCCTTAATATTGAAATACAGCACTCTAAACAATTGTACTATGAAGGACTCAACCTGAAGGAGAGAAGTTTGGAAACTGTTAGTGCAGCTTTGAGGGACATTATAATCAATTTCTCAAGAACTCTGTCCTGAGAAATAGAAATAAAATGATCAACTGGGAAATCTGTAAGTTCAAGCCCATCTTCAGCATTTTATTGGTTTGGCAAGACACCATCTCCAAAAGAAGTTAAAAGGGGGCTGGGCACATAGCTCCCTATAAAAGCTCTGGTTCAGTCTCTGGTATAGAAAAGAAATTAGTCAAAATTCTGAAAAACCCAAATGACTCTGAATCCATGTTTTCCTTTGGCATGAAGGAGAAAACATTGTCACCTAAGAGGCAAAGTTGCTACATATGCCTATTCACATTCAGATAAAATTTAAAAGACAATTCCTCAATGACAGTAGCCATGTGCCAGGCTCTCAGCCATCCCCTGTGGCTAGTGGGTACCATATTGGATCAAGCAGCTGGAGAACATATGCCTTGCTGCAGAAAGTTCTGCTGAGCCCTGTTGAGTGACTTCATCAGGAATCAGTCTATAATAGGTCTGGCAATGGATACTCAAAAGATTGCTGAGAAGTTAATTCTCTTGAGAGCAATTTTTAAGTAGGCAATCTATAAAAGTACTCATTCCCATGGTAATGAGTTATACTCAGTTTTCTGGCTTTTGTTTTAAAATTATCCTGCAGCTGTTTCTATGCTCTGGAATTCTTTTTGAAGAATTTCCTTTAGTGCAGTAGAAACCCCCTTTCAATCCTTACTAAGTCTCTGAATGGCAATATTAATATTTGAGCTCACACAGACAGCCTTTTCCTGCAAACTCCCAAGGAACACAGGTAAAACACTTCATGGGTTGTCTCCATAGGCGAATGCTACACATCATTCGGGGAACAGTTACAGATGTTTTCCATGGAATGATTTCAGGGAAAGCGCATGTTTCTGGGCCCTGAGGCTCTGACTTACGTTCACTTCCTGATTAAACTCCAGGACTAGACATGGGGCTTAACTGGGGATTTTGTTGTAGCTAACAGAGTATAATGCATGAGAGTTAAAGTAAAAATTCAAATTTCAGGAGGCACAAAATGCCCCGAAATAACAAAAAGGCATAGACTGTAGAAACAGAAGCCTTGTGTTTGAGTTCTGTGGCATATATCACAGACTGATGGAGGTGAGAAGCAGTGAACATCCCTGGGGAAAGGAGGCTTAGAGAAATTTCAGTTCCTGCACAGATCAGGAGGTGTCTGACTGGTGGCCCAGGGATGAATTAAGCCAGTGATTCACAACCAGGTGTGTGGGAAGTGTGTGCTAAGAACCTGGGGAACTTGTGTCACAAACCCCAGCCAGCCTTTCTCTAGGTCAGACCTGACAGGGTAGGTGGGAAGGCTGACTATGCCTCTGGTTTCAAACGTTTTTTTTCTACTTAGTTTAAGCATTTCACTTTTAAAAACTGTGTAAGTACTGCTTTCTTTGGTGTAGGCTTTTCAACTTAATTGTCTTTGACACTTAAATTGTATTTTTAGGGCAGTTTTTTTGTCGATATTCTTGAGGAATAACTTCAATACAGTAAAGTGTACAAATACTTCTTTTTTAAATGTATCAGTTATTTAATTAGGCTCTTAGTAAGAAATTTAGAACACTAATTTATGAGGATAAATTCCATTTGTCAGCCTAAAATGGATCGCAGGTAGGCCTGGAGCTGAGGAACAGCTTTGATTTTTGCTAAGATCTGTGAGTCCACCACTCTGATCCACCTTGCGCTGCTCTGAAATCTGGTATCTCTCTTCCTCGGTGTCAAAGATCTCACCCTCCTGGTGTCTGGGCTTCCGCAGCTTCTTCTTGAAGTATGCATCAGTGAGGTGTTTAGGATTTTTTCTTTGCTGATGTCAATTTTTGTAGAGGTGGCAGTGACAAATTTCTGGTGTGTTTTTCATAGAGGAACACAATTAAGGCTAAGAGGCCCAGTCACAAGTAGCAAGCCACTAGCTAACTGCTTCAGGAAAACCCCTCTCTTGCCTCTGTGACACCCGGTGAGGATGATCAAGATGGTGCTGGGAGTGATGCTGGCTCAAAGTTTTCTCATATGCTGACTGAAGGGTTTCTTGCTGTGGCTCAAGAGCTTTTGGGGCACATCTTCATTAGGGCAGTATCTAGGCAGTTTCGAAGCTTAACCACCCAGCTACCTCCATTCTTGTCCCCACCAACCGGTTTTGTGATCTTAGCAAGAACTTTCTCCTTGGGGCTGGTGAGATGGCTCAGTGGTCTAAGGCACCTACTTAGAACAAGCTGAGCTAAGCAAAACACAGAGACCGCGGTTCAATCCCCCAGCACCACATGCCAGCCAGCCCCGCCCCCTGGTGGGCTGAGTTGGCCACACACACACACAAAA